TGATCTATAGACAGTACTAATGCGAGGTGGCAGTTGTCCGTTTGATGTGTAAAAGATTTGCTGAAATTCCAGAAAAATATTCTGATGAGACAATGAAAGAACAGTCTGGTTTTTCAAACTGTAGCATGTGTTTTTCCTTTATGATCCTGAGTGCCTGGGGAAATCCTTATTTTTCTTTCTAAAATGAATTTTATGAATCACCTGGAGAATTGATATTTACATTGCTGGCAGTAAAATGTAATGAAATTGTGCATTATGATTCAGTATTTCTGCACTTAGGGTTTTAATGAGCATTTTATCTGTCCTTTTAAATGGTTGCTGTGTATATATTTTATTTCTAGATTACTTATAGATTACATTTCTATTTTCAAATAACAAATATATACAGTACTGCATAATAAGGAATATGATGCTTTCTACGATTCATTGTCATTCTGGTCTGTAACACTAATTTGATCTTTCAAAGGAAAGAAACAGACCTTGTGGTTTGTATCAAATAAAGAGAAAAATCCTGATTTTTTTTTTTTTTTTTTCTTTTCTGTGCTGCTTCTTTCCTAATCTTTTTTTTTTTTTCTTTCCCTTTTTGTACCTTAGAAACAAGCACAAACGTTGTCAGATACTTGGTTTGCACGTGATGTGGATTTATAACTTTATATTCCAGTGTTACAAATACCTGCCTTTCTTAATGGGTACTTAGAGCTTGGCTGAATTTTGTGAAGTATTTATAATAAAAAGAAACTTTATATGACGCAAAGTATTCATAGTGAAATGGTCTGGGAGAAGGTCTGCATCGCCAGTGATCTTTTTTTTTTCTTTCTTTCTGCAAGCATTAGCCTGACCCACACACATGGAAGGTCACGGTTCTGAACACTGCTGTTCAGGTTGCCAGGGATGGGTGCAGTTGCCAGCCTACAGCAGAGCAAGAATTAGTCAGCAGGGTTAATGTGTACCCAACGTGAAGAAGAGTTCTCAACAGGAGGGCTGTTAAAGGAACGTGGTTTATAGCCTGATCCACTGCAGGGCAGCCAGGGTTGTGGTAGTGAAGTGTCTGGACATCCACTTGTACAGCAGGTATCTTCTGCTCGTTGTGGCAGTGATAAACCTTTCAGAAGAGCAGGTTTCTAAATGTAATGCAGAGGATGTAATTTAAATGTTGGTTCAAATGGTCGCTTGTCTCACGATTTATCACAGGGTGTTTTTTCTGGCAGTGGGTCACACTGGAGAAAGGGTAGGTAGGTTGCTCTAGAAACGTGCTGAAGGCTGTTTTCTCCATTTATCTCCTTGGTTCTTGCATGATTACAGCCAGATCTGGAACTGTAACCCACATGTGACTGTGTAGGCAGGCGGTATGTTAACAAGTACTGCAGGTGAATGGGGTTACAGGGAGGCTGTAGAGCACCATGGGGCTGTAGGTCCAGCCATCCCTCAGGGAGCTGTCTGTCTAACCAGATATGGACAGCTTCCATTGGACTGCATGTCCGTAAGAGGTGGCCTGAGTGCATTGAATGCTCTCCAGGAGCATCTCCTCTTGGTTTAGTTTCATCTAAAGGAACCCAGTTCATCGTGTTGGGGACTGCGCAGGTGGGAGCTGAGGCACAGTAAGTGAGGATGCTTGTCGGAGTCCCTTCATATAAACACTCTTCTGATGCAAATTGAAATGCTGAACTTGCCCATAAAGTACTTAACTTTGTGGGTTGTGGTGTTTCTTCCTTAGATATAAAATGTATACCTAGTTAGATTATGTGCCAACTTGCGGTGCATTGGCCTGCATTCAATTTAACAGGGACTTCTGACTCCCAAAAACTGCAGTCGAAGCCATTTGTTTCCTCCTCCTCTCCCCTCTTGCTCTACTAAGCACAAGTATCTTGGGAAGGGTACCTTCAGTAGACTTCGAATTAGGATGGTGGTTGATTTACCCTCCCTTTAAAAAAAAAATATATCGAGAACCAAAATACATTCTGTCTGTTCATTGGAATATCCTTGACAAACACAAAGCAACCAAAAAGCTTTTTTCTTCTTTGTTCTGTAATGAAGATCTGTGTGATTCCTTTTTCTCCTGGATACTATTTTCCTTTTCTTGCCTCTGTCCTTTGTCTGTGTCTTTCCCTCCCTCCCTCCTGCACATATACTCTGATGGTCCAGTGGACACCATCATTTTAAAGAATGTTTTCCATTTCAGAGCACTTATTTTTTTTATTGTTTATGTTTCTAACCTTGCCAACTTCATCATTTTTCGTTCTAACTCTCACTGTTTCCATTTTACTTGTTGCACACTGCAGCTTGCACTTCTGTGTAATAGCAACTTGAGGAAAGAGTGAAAGAAACAGCCATGACAGAACATCAAAAACATATACATGCTTTTTCTTCTTTTTTGGCAGAAATTACAGAAAGAATTTATACCTGTTAGAACATTTTTATTTACATGAAAGGATATCCCATTTTTAATTAAAGGTGGAATTTAAGGATGATAAATGGGACCATTATCCAGTAGCAGTTAGTTTGCAGGCATTTTTTTCCTGCTCTTCCGCAGTACTGCAGGTTTGACAGTGCCTTTGGCTTTTGTGAGCAAAATACATTTCATACTTATGACAGAATAGCTGTAACTCACTAGACATGAAACAGTTATCATACATAGTGACATCTCTGTTTAAACCCCGAGGAACAGAATTATTTTAAAGTGTGCATATGCAGAAATTTCCTGCTGATCAATTTTATTTAAAACATAACAGCTAAAAAAATTTATATGCCAAATGCATTTGGAGAAATAATGCTAGAGATACTGAAATTATGCAAGGAAAAAAAAAAAAAAAAAAAAAAAGATGAATTGCTGGGGTAGTTGTAATGAAAAAGTTATCTTTTTATTTATTTATTTAATTTTATTTTTTTGGAAGGACGTGATTCCTAAATTAATTTAGGAGGAGAATTTCTCTTGCTACTGCTGTCCTGTAATAAATTGTAGATGTGCCAAAATTAGATGTTATTTCTGAAGGAACTGTGCTCCATCGTACTGCTTACAGTGCCAGACGTAACTTCTGTCTGCCTTGTAGCCATTGATAAAAAGGAAATGTGTGCTTTAGCCCTGTTTTCCTCCAAGTATGTCCAGTGCATCGTGACTCTGGCAGGGGCTGATGTGGTTAGTCGATAGGGTGGTGAAGGGCAGTGACTGCAGGGGTTCTTCACAAATAGCCTCACTATTTTGCCCCATCTGGCAACTCTTTGAAGTATTTTTGTCTCTGGTAGCATAGTAACCTTTAACTTGTTTGTTCTTTTTTTTTTTTTTTTTTGACTTTAGCCTCCAAATGAGTCTTTTTCATCCTGTCCTGATGAGCTCCCTGAAAATTAGTAGGTAATTTGAGTTAGCCCAACATTGCCATTGGGCATTATGGACTTCTTAGCATGACTTTTGACCGTTGTGGGAGGAAATAAGAAGCCCATGTACTCTGCAAATCGTGACTGACTACTTTTTTCCCCTTTGCTCTCTGGTACTTTCACTAAGTATCAGTATTCTGGGTCATCTTGGGGTCCTCTAGAATGAGCCCTTATATTTAAGGTCCCTGTGGTTGATGTCTTCAAAAGAAGCAGGCAAAAGAACCTATGTAGTACAGGACCTGGATACAGAGACCTCATTGCTGTCTGCTCTAGACTGTTAGCATTACTGTCTACTCAAGATTGTGCAAGCTCAGTGTGTTTTGCTGTAGTACTACCTCTGGTGAGATTTCATGCTGGCCTTGCAGAGGGACTTGTGTCCCCAGGCTACTTCAGAGTCAGACCTCAGTAGTTTCTGTGGCTGCTGAGGCATCCAGGACTTACATGCTTTGAACCCAGATCTCAGGTCTTACCCGAGTCAGCAGATCTCTAGGAAGAGGTTGGAGATAGGAGTTTCAAAACAGGAAGAACAGATTGTAATGTAATTATTCAAGATTGCATCACGAGTTACAAATGGCAAAACTCACCTTTTTTTTTATTTTTATTTTTTTGAATATGGAGCAGGAAACCTAAGGCTTGTCTTGTGTGTGCCCTGCTATGTTATGATGAGTAGCGTTTCTTTTCATTATTAAAAAGTAGCTATCTACTCTTCTGAAGCACTAATTTCCATTATTAACAGTTGCATGGGAGGTCATTGTGAATTGGATAGGGTCTCTGGCATTCAGGCATATTTAAAAACAATGTTTATGATGTCTCTACCTCCTATTATTACTGTCTGGCAAGCATTTTTCAGGGGTTGTTCTTCAGTTATATTTTGCACGTGGTTCTCAGTTTTCTTAGGTCCCAGTGAGGAAAAGTGAAAAATCTAATAGCTTTCCTGTGCCTTTAGGAGATCTACTGATGGGTGCAAGACCAGCGTGTTCAGAGCATGGGTGGGCAGGGAGAATGGGTTGGTGCCTGAGATACTTTTGCGTGCTTCCTGCTTTTTTAAGCTGTATAAAGAATGTTTTGAGATTAAGTTTAGCAGCACCTCTGCAAACTCCTAACAAAGTAAAGGCCTGAATTGTCCTTGTCTCAGGCATCTGCCTCTGTCCAAAGATATGACTAGAGCTCTGCACTTCTCTCAACTGATAGTTTGAATTACATGCTCAATGTATAGTAACGATGGGAGTGTATTTTATTGCAAGAGATGGGACTCAGAGATAGTTACTTGTTTTAGAACTAAAGATTCCATCACAAAGAGGAAGATAAAAAACTGTGTGTGCAGTGCAGATGCTGCATGATGGAGGAGTGCAAGTGGTCAGCCCCACTTGGGGCTGTTACAGCATCACTATGGTATATGCCTTCCCATTATCTCTTGTGCTCACCTTTGCACAGGATATTTTGGTCCCATACGTGTGTTCGTTTCTTTTTCTTTTTTCTTTTTTCTTTTCTTTTTCTATCCTATTGAATTTAAAGCAGTTACTTCATTAATTCGTGTTCATAATACCGTTAATTTTGTCTTTACAGTGCTGTTGTTATGAAGAGAGTTGTCATGCAAGCCGTTTTAAGTAGACTATTTCATCTTTTTGCAGATTGCCAGCATTAAGTGCCAGCCCATGTGAGCAGCCTGCTGACCACGAAGCCCGACCACGCTCGGTCTATTAGCTGTGCTCCAGAAGTGTTTGTTCAGTTTTTCCTCAGATGGATAACCAATATGGAACATTCTGTCCACAGAAGTCTTATTAAAGAGGTTAGAGCATCCTGCTAATTAGGAAAAACTAATTAGGCAGATTGTTGCGCCTGTAACCAGAACTTTATATTTTAATGGATTTGAAATGTGGTACACTCATTTTTCCTATTGTAAAATCAACTTTTCTTTTAAATGTCTGAAAATAGTCTTCTTGAGGAGATTATGCACTCAGAATAAGAAAGCAGCATTTTAACTGTTGGATTCACTAAATTAGCCATAGGAGATTGCCTTGTAGACTGGGTGAAATCATTCATTCGTACCAGTGTTATGGCAACCAAAACTATGTTGTCTTATTACCTTTCTGTTGGTTGAAAGTTTCCAACTGCCCCAAGGAGGAGCTAGAATAAATTTGTACGAAGGAAAAGTATGGTTTGTGACTGCAGTGATGTTAGACTCAGGTGGTGCTCACATTCATAAATGGTTGTTTGGCTCCTCCAACCTGGTATTCACTGACTGCTCTTTCGCAGGGTCTTGGGAAGTTTGAGGTGTCAATAACTGAATGAAACCCATTTGCAAGTGCTCTTGCAGTGCTGCTTTGGAATTTCATTGTATGCCAACTGGAAGCTGAAAATCAGCCCATTTGCAGTGTGGCCTGGAAGCAAAATGTTTATGACTGGGGAGAAGTCTGCCTTGAGATACACTTGGGTATGTTTAAGGTGGATTTCTCTATAATGGCTACTTTGAACTTGTTCCCTGCTACACCCTGCTGCAAACTTCAATTAGTATTAACCTTCTTTCAGGCTTGTCATTCTGCCTTCTGTGGAATGCACTGACTTGTGGAGAAGCCCTGTAGCCAGGAGCTGTGGGCAGCAGCCTTGTGAAAGGCTGGCCAGGTTTGTTCCTGTGCTGCCAGCCCTGGCCGCTGCTAGACCTCCTGTGATTTCAGAACTGTCAGCTCTGGCCTTGACAAGGCAGACTGGTGTTCAGCATCTGCTGTGACCTGTAGATTTGCACCCTTCCACATTTCTGCCGCTTTGTCTTCAGTGTGAAATCTGGGTCTGTTATCAACCAGACAGGTCTAGATAGTTAGCATGATGTCATGTCTCTTAAGCAGTTCATGGAACGAGGATGAAATTCATGGCAATAAATATTTTAGATTGTTTTTGTTTGGCTTCTTAAGGAAAAAGAATTTCCTTAGGTGAGAGGTTACTTTGTGGGCAGCTCAGCTGTAGGATGTATCAATGGTTCCAGTACATAGGATGCTTCTTGCTCTTCATGGCAGAGTTTGAAATTGATACTTATAGTTACGAGTTTTGTAGATTCTTGTTTAATTACAGGTCATCCTTCTGAAGTGGATGACTCATTTAGCCATCAGTGGCTGGATTAGTCCTCTATATAACTGTACACGTACCCATTTTGGGTGTTAAGAGCCTTGAAATTGAAAGTTTCTCCTCTGCACTGTGTCTTGTTTCATGGGGTAGTACACAGAAAGCAGATCTGAGAAGGAGAAGCAAATGAGGAAGGTAAATAGTTGGAACCAGCTGATCTTGAAGGTCTCTTCCAATGATCTCAATGCTGTTGCTACTATTAATAATAGTGTAATAATTTCTTAGTCTGCTAGCTTGTACTTCTGTGTCTGTATTTCAAACTGGAAAGCTATGTGGCATGCATATTTCTTTTGATAAGATTCAGTGTTTATTGAGAATTCAGTGTGGAAGTTGGTGTTTCTTCTTGATTGCCAGCTCACTTGTGGTGAAAAGATGGGGCCTGGGGAGGCTGCAGCTGGCAAGAGAGTGTGGGCAGAGAAGTTCTGATTTGTGCATACGAATTGCTTTGGGTTCTTCAGCACCACTGGGAAAGCACAGTAACCACTCTGCTTCAGGTTATTGGTATAAGAGCAGTGCTGTTCATCTGAATGAACTTTTGCTATGTGACCCTCATGGTTGCATTTGGGCTTTTAGGAGCATGTGAAGAAATTTTCAGGCACTGCTTGCAGAACATTTTGCAAATGGGCTCCATCTTCATTCATCCTTGATTTCTCACACCCCTTCCATTTCTGTGTTTTACCATATTCTGACATTTTAACTGTCACTGGCTTTTCTTCCTGGCATTTCAGGCTGCCTATCCTTCCCTGTGACATTGCACGTGTCCTGGTAGAAGTCTGTTGTAGGGATTCAGATCCTAGACTTGTGGGCCCATCTTTATCAGCAGAATGCATTGAGTTGTGTTGCCTTGAGATGTAACTCAATTTGCATTTAAGTAGAGATGGTTTGAACCTTGGTTTCTGATGTTTCACAGTTGGGTGCTTTTTTCTGCTTTGTCAAGGGAGATGATTGCAGTAAGACCATGAGCTGAATTATCCTTCTAGTAGATACAATTTCTTAATGCGAGAGGGATATTAAGCAGAATAGATGGGAGTGCTCTTGCAAGACTTCATGGAATGAGGCTGAAGTACCACTGCCAATGGGATGCATGATCCCTTCATTCTGGGTCAGGCATAGTGTGGCCTTGGTGGGAGAACTGTTTTAAAACCCAGGGTGGACATCAAGCAGGTCTTAGAAAACAGCAGCCAAACATATGAGAACTATTCTGAAAGATCCAGTTGGTGGATGTTTAAGAAAGAAACTTTCCTTCCCAGGGATGTTTGTGAGAAGGATGGTAGCAGTGAGCAGGACTGCAGTGGTTGGGATTTTTGAGTGCTGAAATTTATTTTACTTACCTGAGCTTTTAAAAATATTAATGTTGATGTGTGTTATACCATATTATCAAAAGTTTACTTTTTCTCTATCTGGCTGATGGACACCAGAATAGCTTTCAGGTCACTCCTAGCAGCTTTTCTCCAGTTAAAAAACGTGTAAGATGCTTTCAGTACAAAAACCATTGCATTTAAGATATTTTTCTGCTGTGACATACGAGTATGTTTTTGCCACAGTGGCACTTGCCTGTTTTGGGTTATTTTCTGTCTATGAATGTTATGTGATTTCTTGTTAAAGTGAATGACAAGATGATGTACGACGTACTTGAGATGGTATTGAGCAGAATCTAGTCGGAAAATTGCAGTGATAATTTTCTTTTTACATCTCAAACTTAAACGCCATTGAAGAAAAAGGAAAAAGAAAAAAAAGAAGTGTAACAGGCAACTGAAGAAGAGCATGAGGGGAAACCTTGAAAAATTACAGGGAAATTTCCATAACAGATACACTAGTAATGCCTGTTTAATAATGATTTCCTGTCAGGAGCTATTTTTATCATATGCCTGCTCTCTGACGTGGCATTCTATTTAACATTTTTGAGAGCCATGTTTTAATCAGATTAAGCTCAAGGAAACCGATAGGTATCTGCTTGGCTCATGGCTTCTGCTTCTGTTTCTTATTTAGTCACAAGACTATTGTTGCTGGGATCTTTGAAAGCACGTTTTGCTCCGGCGGCAGCAGGCGTGCAGCTTGCCCTGCCTTAGGAGCGCCAGTGATTTCCATGATATATGCGCAGGGCGCACCGTGGAATTATTTTGTAAATTAAAGAAGACTGATACAAACTGTTTCTTTTCCTCATGTGATTAAGGAGCCCAAAATAGCAGTCTATTTTTAGTGATGTTTCTTAGGAGCAAACTAACCGAAAGCAGCGTGCTGGGAAAGGCTGATAATGAATAGTGTTGCATGCGAGTCCATTGGTGTAAGAGAAAATTGCCTGATAGAACCGTGGATGTTGGTGAATCATTTTATGTAGTGCTTTCCCAAGGAGGGATGTGGTGAAGGTAAAGCATAAACACGCATGTTTTTAACTTCGGTATTTTCACATTATTTGATTATTAAATTAGAAAGTTTGTAAGGAAAATACCAGGTTAGATTCTCCAATATCGGGCACATCCATGCTGTGTAGCACTGGGGATTGTGCCTGGCCGTATGCAGGTAAGAACACTTAACACCTCTTTAGATGCTCTTGGTGTTTTGGACTATGGGTGTGCATCAGCTGATCTGCTTTTACTCAGCTCTATGTATTCCAGCTTTTGAGGGAAAAAATGTATTACATTTCTAATGACCTCTTTTGTCTGTTGCAAATGCAGATATTTTTTTAATTTTTTTTTTTTTTTGCTTGCACAGTAGAGCTTATATTCAGCAGCTTGGTTTGTACTGTATTACCTCGGTGTATTATTTATTTGGTTGATGTGCTAGAAACCTGCACATCTAAGAATTAATGAAGGTTATTAGTTACTTTCTATAATAAAATTAGCTGACCTTTAAATAAGAGCATTATGCAGGGGATTTCTAAGTGGAAAAATGACAGAAGGCATTTTTAATATGTTGGCCGTTTCTGTTGGTAAATGTTACAGTCATGCTATAGAATGTTGTGATGCTGTGTGTTTGCAGACAGGGATGGAATACGTGTAGTTTTCATATTCAGAAGGGGTTTAACCCTTTGGTAACTCCTTATGCTCTTCTTACAACTTGGTAACACTTCGATAATCCAGAGAGCTGAAGATGCAACTGAACATTCTGAGAATGAATGTCCTTTGGAAAGAGCAGCGGTGGGAGTTGGCTGTGGTTTTCATTAAGCATGATTGTATGCAGATTCCTCCAGTGCTTTAGCAGACAGCCTTCAGTTGCTATCAGGCGTACGTGATGAACGGCTGCTCAGATGCTGCTTGCTCTATGAGATGTGCATCTTGCTGAATTTGTCTTCCAATTGAAGCTGAGACCTGTTGTGAAATACAGCATTGCACATGAAGTTCACGAGCCTCCGTGTTTAAGTTGCAGAGAGGCACACCTCAAGCAGGTTTCTTAAAGCAGTAATTAAAGCAAACTTTCTTAATTCTTTTTGGTACTAATAGCTAACACAGGACCTGTGCTAAATAAAGGCATCGTTAATTGTGTCATTATCTGGAAAAGATCTTGCAAAACCGTGAAGTACACCGTGCATTTTTCTTGTTATTTTTGAAACCTTGCTAATATACATAACGATCAACTTGTGGATTTCAGGTGAACGTACAGGCAGCACCGTGAGCAAATCTGCAGTTTTTCAAATTTCGACTCCGTCTTAAAACATTTGTTGCAATCCTTGCAAGATATTCATCTATTTGTAGCATCATATAGGTCTGTCTCCCCATCTGTCTCTGTTTTTCGTGACGACGAGGCTCTGCAACGTTTGTTTTTTTTTTTCCACTTTTGTACTTATTCATTGAGCCCGCTGTAGTGCTGCTTCTCTCAGAGCTATTTGTCCGACAGCTTTTATTGATCATTTGCAATAAAATAAAAGATTTTTTTCACAGGGAGAAATTTAACCAGCAATGGGTGAATTCGGTTTAATCAGATTTAGGTTTATACGGTAGGAAAGCTAATGTAATCAGAACCCATTTATGTGCTATTAAATACGTAAATTGGTAACATAATGCGGTGCCAAAATCTTACCAACACAGAGAAGAAAAAAAAATCTCACTGAATTCTTTGATGCTTGGCCATATTTATTAAGGAATCCATGCAACTTTCAGATTTGAGAAGTAGCTACTCGTCTAGGGCTCAGATTCCCTACAAATAAATCCTTATTTAACAGGATATCCCTGAGACTCTTTTTTTTTTTTTTCCCTTTCTTATTGGCAGCTTGACTAAAACAGTCTCATCTGGTTTAACTAAAATCTTTGCATTACTTGGCGGTGGTTTCTTTTGTACGTGGTGCTTAGAGCTCATTGAAGCTCAAACGGTACAGGAAAT